TGTCTTGCTCACAACACACCTGTTAATACATCCCAGAATCATATATGCTTTTTTTGCAACAGCATCACACTGCAGACTCATATTCAGCTTGTGGTCCACTATAACACCTTGATCCCTTTCTGCCGTACTCCTTCCTAGACAGTCGCTTCCCATTCTGTATGTGTGAAACTGATTGTTCCTTCCTAAGTGGAGCACTTTATATTTGTCTTTATTAAACTTCAACCTGTTTACCTCAGACCATTTCTCCAATTTGTCCAGATCATTTTGAATTATGACCCTATCCTCCAGAGCAGTCACAACCCTTCCCATCTTGGTATCATCTGCAAACTTAATAAGCGTACTTTCTATGCCAATATCTAAATCGTTGATGAAGATATTGAACAGCGCTGGTCCCAAAACAGACCCTTGCAGAACTCCACTTGTTATACCTTTCCAGCAGGATTGTGAACCATTAATAACTACTATCTGAATATGGTTATCCAGCCAGTTATGCACCCACCTTATAGTAGCCCCATCTAAGTCGTATTTGCCTAGTTTATTGATAAGAATATCATGCAAGACCGTATCAAACTCCTTACTAAAGTCTAGGTATACCACACCCACTGCTTCTCCCTTATCCACAATACTCGTTATCCTATCCAAGAAAGCTATCAGATTGGTTTGACATGATTTATTCTTTACAAATCCATGCTGGCTGTTCCCTATCACCTTGCCACCTTCCAAGTGTTTACAGATGATTTCCTTAATTACTTGCTCCATTATCTTCCCTGGCACAGAAGTTAAACTAACTGGTCTGTAGTTTCCTGGGTTGTTCTTATTTCCCTTTTCATAAATGGGCACTATATTTGCCCTTTTCCAGTCTTCTGGAATCTCTCCCACCTTCCAGGATTTTCCAAAGATGATAGCTAGAGGCTCAGATACCTCCTCTATCAGCTCTTTGAGTATTGAGGATGCATTTCATCAGGCCCTTGTGACTTGCAGGCATCTAACTTTTCTAGGTGATTTTTAACTTGTTCTTTTTTTATTTTATCTTCTGAACCTCCCCCCTTCCCACTAGCATTCACTATGGTAGGCATTCCTTCAGACTTCTCAGTGAAGACCGAAACAAAGAAGTCATTAAGCATCTCTGCCATTTCCAAGTTTCCTGTTACTCCCTCCTCACTGACCAGTGGGCCTACCTCGTCTTTGGTCTTCCTCTTGCTTCTAATGTATTTATAAAAAGTCTTCTTGTTTCCCTTTATTCCCGTAGCTGGTTTGAGCTCATTTTGTGCCTTTGCCTTTCTAATCTTGCCCCTGCATTCCTGTGTTGTTTGCCTATATTCATTCTTTGTAATTTGTCCTACTTTCCATTTTTTATATGACTCCTTTTTTATTTTTAGATCATGCAAGATCTCATGGTTCCACCAAGGTGGTCTTTTGCCATATTTTCTATCTTTCCGATGCAGCAGAATAGCTTGCTTTTGAGCCCTTAACAATGTGCCTTTGAAAAACTGCCAACTCTCCTCAGTTGTTTTTCCCCTCAGTCTTGATTCCCATGGAACCTTACCTATCAGCTCTCTGAGCTTACCAAAATCCACCTTCCTGAAAATTGAGAGTCCTCATTTTTTTCAGGAAGAATGGCTCCTTCGCAAGAGGGTTTTTTTGTGCAATAATGAACCATCTACACTGTTCCTTTTTGTGCAAAAGCTTCTTGCACAAAAATGGACCCTAATTAATTCCACAAATGAAGTGCAGCGATATTCTACTCCACACTTAATTTCCATAAGCTTCTGTGGAAGATGGGTGCAGTATAGAAACAGCATATGGCTAATCTTTCAGTGCACCTTTGTTACAGCAGCACTCACACTCCTGGACAGAGAGAGCATTACCAATCCTTTAAGTTGCATAGACTATCAGCACTTCCAGGGAGCTGAAAATGATGTTCTTATGGCATGTAAGTGCTGATGGGAAAGAGCATCTAATATTCTAAATGAGTTCAGAAGTCCATCGTCACGCTTGCCTCTTTGCCCACTTGATCATAGAACAGGATCTACGGCTTGTCTAGAATAGCCACAACTAAGCATCAGATTGGCTATCCAGGTTTCCAATCCACATGACAGTGGGCACATTTGGAGGGCAGTTTAAAATTCCTAGCCTTCTTCGATAGATATTATCTTCTGGATATGGAGCCTGGACATAGATCTCCTATGAGGAGGGATGGGAGGAAATGGCCATCCTAATACAATTTCTAGATCAATAGAATTGTTATACTTCTGCAAACCATAATCTATGTTAGAGAAGCAATACTTTTAAGAATGTATTGGGGTTGTTAAGCATTGTTTTTTTCATATCCTTCCTCTTGTATGACCAAGTTGCCTTAGGACATGATCCCATGGGTTGCAATGAACCCTCAACTTCCACTGAGATCAGTGTGTATACAGTTTTGTATCACTGTTTTAAAATTGATAGCTATAATAATAAATTGATAAAATAAACTTTTCTATGTATAAGGGCATCACTGTTCTGAGCTGCTATATATTCAAACACCAAAGCTGAGTACAAAAGCTATATATCCTATAGAACTGTATTTACATCTGGGTATGTCTTGACTCCTCCATTTCTAGCCCTGATGTTTTAAACTATAAATCTTTTCCTAAGCTCTATACCTTACCATTTTTATTTTTCTGGTTCACATTTGGATGAGAAATAAATATTGTAATGGCAGTACAATAAATAGTAATACCAGACAGCTGAAAATAACAGTAATCTGAAACGTCAGATGCAGTTCAACATAAATCCTTATGGGTGAAGACAAAAGTGCCTAATCAATGTCATTTACTAGAGACAGCATGTTTTATCATGTGGTTGTAGGAAAAAAGAAATGCATATTTCACATATATTTACCAATAAAGGATTCATTGTACAAATTAATGTCCACCACCTGGTTAGAGGGCCATTTTTTTCAAATGCTTTGAAAATGAAGCATTCCAGCTGTGAGTGAACAGATACCTCTGCTGTTAACAAAGCATTCTTCATGCACTTAAAAAACCTATTTTTCAGTCTTGCACAGAAAAAAGTGGTATTACAGTGTGACAAATGGCTAAACAAATTATTCAACCATGATTATTTTTAGCATAGGAAATTTCAGATCTACTGAAAATTCTTCTCGCCTATTATCCTTGTTGAGTTCATAAATGTGAATTCTCCCCATACCATAACTCCAACCACCATAAGAAAGGTCCTCTTAGCAAGCAAGTAATCTCTTCCGCGCCCCCCTCCCTGCCATTCTGGCCCTTCAAAAGTAACATGTAATATTTTTGAGAGGAAGCAAAATCAAATAAATACACAGATTGCATAAAAAAGCTCAATTTCTTGGAGTAACATTTAAGAGTTGTGATGGTAGGGGGCTGCTCAATCCTCCCTATTTCAAGTTAATATTACAGTATGAGTGTAGACAGGTAGACTTATGTTTTCTGCTTGTGGAATGCACTAAATTGTGGGAAAGTGGTCTCTGTTACCTAAGGAAGGGCAGGTGGAAGACATTTTGACTCCCTACAAGGTTTGACTCTGATCCTTCCCATTCACTAACCTCCAATAGTTGTACAATGGTTGCATTTTAAAAAAAATCCACCAGCAAAATTGTGTTAAATGGATGCTGGGTTTTACATTCATGTCTCATATATTCATATTTTCCTCCTTTACATCCTTGCTCTTTTCCTGAAGCCGTGATCCTTCTCCCCCAGGGTTTTAGTGCTTTTACTCTCTGCCTGCTCATTTGTACTCCTGCACACTTCAGCATTTCTTTATGTAGCCCTCTCCCATTCGCCTTCCTGAGACAGCGTCTCTTTAGCTGTATCCCCTTGCCACTGTTTCCTTGGACAGCTGCACTCCATAGTCCCTCTCCTCAGCTGCACCCATTTCCCATACCACCCATCTTAGCCCAGGCGCCTCGGCTTCACCATGCATCTTACTGCCCGGAGGCTCTTCTTCGAGCCCCCGCCCAGACGTTTTTGCTCGTGCCCCAGCTGGTTTAGGGGAAGGAGCGGGATCGAGACGCACCTCCCAGCAATTTGCCAAGAGCAACACGCCCTATGGGGACCCGCTGCCGGGATTCACAGGTTGCCTGGTGTCACGTGGACACAGCCGGGTCTTGAGGCTGCTACAGCTGGCTGGTGCATGCTGCAGCTGCAGCTGCAGCTCTGCTGTTCTCTCGGGTGCACCTCCAGTGTGCCAGCGGGGCTCATTTTTAAATGCAGTGCCTGCCCAGGGAACCCAGGGACTGTGCTCTCCCTCTTCACGCTGGGATCTCTTGCTCCTGTGTAAAAAAAATCTACATGTCTGGTCCAGGCGATTGGAGGCATTTGTTTATGTGTTAACAGTGATATGCATGCATGTGAAATGGCCTTTAACCAGGCAACGGGCTTGGTCTGTGCAGGACTGGGCATGAGGTTTAAAATGATTCTCCTTTTCACATTGCAGGGGGGAGGGGTGAAATTTAGCAGGCAAGGAGTTCCTGTCGTTTGCTGTGAGTAGAATGACAAAACGTTTGTTGTAGAGAAATCGCAGGCTTTCCAAGCATCTCTTCTTTAGCCATGGTTCACGCTTCTCTCTGTCTCTCTCCGTGCAACACTCACCCTTTCCCCCTCCTCCCTACTTCCTTCCCTTTGCAGAGAATTAAATATTGCATTTGTGAACTGAGGAATTAGTGTTTCTGCCTAATTCCCTTCGCTGTGCAACCCAGGCAAGGCGAAGAGCGTACACAGCCCAGATCTGTTCAGTGAAGCAACACAGATCCACGGATCCAAATGGGTATTTGGAGGAGGAGGAGGAGGTGTAAAAGGAACTACAAGCAGCGGGCAGATTTGCAAGGAATAATTTAAATCCTTTCTTCCTCCTCCCCCTCCTCTCTTTTCTGTTTAGGATTTAAATGTCATCAAAGCGTCCTCAATTCAGTTTTCTGCTCGTCTCTGCTTTCTTCTGAAGCATTAAGCCAAACACTGCATTTCAGCAGCTCCGGTGTTTTACCGAGAAAGGTAAGGAGGGTCTTGTGAGTGGAAATGCACCGGGTATGGTATGCTCACAAAAAAAGACTAGGTTTCTTTGCAGGGTATCCCCCCGCCCGACCCCATTCCGTAGCCAGGCTAAATCTACCTGAGGAGTTTGCATTCCCTCTAAAGGAGGGGGCGGGTGGGGGAAATAGCATTATCCCTTCCTCACACTTGCCCACCCTTTCCAGCCATTTGCTTTACTCTTTGCGGGCCAGACTAGAATAGAATGGAAACATAAAAGGGAGACTAGTTTCGATTGCCTCCCTTTTCGTGTTATAAATAATCTTGAGAATTGCCTGGCCAGTAACGTCACAAGGCTAGTCCCTCTCCCCTCCCCAATTCCTCTGACCTAGGAACAGCTCCTGCCAGGAGAGTAGCAAACATCCGAATCCCTTCTTAAAAAAACCTGTTCGTCATCATTGCATTCTCCCCCATAAAGATTACTATAGGCTACCCTGTCCCCCCTCCCCTTTGAAAATCCTCGGTCCTTTTTCTTCCCCTCACCTTTCTCCATGTAGATGGTTGTTCCCAGGGAGCGTAAAGTTAAGCTACCCCCGCCCCGTGTCTGCCACTCACACCATATGCACAATTTGCATTCCGAGATTTTTTTAAACCCTCTTTTCCTCTCTGTTTCTAGTCGGATCCTGCACATGTCCGCCCCCCTTTAAGCTAGGTGCAAAGCTGCTGTATCCTGCAACTCCCGAAACTTCCCTGCTTGCAGCCGTTTATATTCTGCTATATAACAACGGAAAGGACCACAATCATACACTTGATCCTTCTGTGGGGTGACTTTTTAAATAATGCATTTCCTTCTTCCCCTTTAATTTTTTTTGGGGGCAAGGAAATTTGCTCCATCTCCAGCAGCAACCACTGCTCCTTTTGATGTTGTGGTACGCCGTGCGCATGCGCCTCACATTAGAATTACTGCACTGGCCAGAATAAGTTGGATCTCTTCTGCTCTTCACTGAAACCCTAAATCATATCAAAAGCTAAAGGGATGTTGAGAGTCCGGAAAAGGGGTTACTTTGGGATTTGGTCATTCTTCTTAATAATAGCTATCGTGTGTGCACAGAGGTAAGTGAGCGAGACGTTTCTTTTCCTTCACTTTGAATTGCACTGTCTGCTACTGTTACACGAATGGGGAAACTGGATCTGTGAAATAAGAAATATATATTATTCTTTTTTAGTGTCAATGACCCTAGCAATATGTCGCTGGTTAAAGAGACCGTGGATAGACTGCTGAAAGGCTATGACATTCGCCTGAGGCCAGATTTTGGAGGTAATTTGATTGCTTTTTGAAGAGGAGATGTTACATATCCAGGCTGTGTATCTTCAAATGTGTGTGTTTTTAAACGTGTCGTGGGTGCTGCCGCTGTTGCATTGGGGTGTGTGTGTTGCCATTTTCTCAAAATGATCCGAAGTTAAGCCAATTGTCACTCAATTTTCTTAGCACACAGGATGCTCTGAATGCCATCATTGATTCAACCTCTCCTGCATATTTGTAATTGATTTCATTTGTCTCTGTGTGTGCTGATAACTTATTAATCTATAATTAAACCAGTAGTTAATTGGTTTTATTGAGATCTCTTAAATTTATCCAGCATTTGTTCCAGGGAGCATCATGTCTCTGTGACCACCGTTACTATTTTTGAGCACAAGATGTGTTGTTAACTAACACGGAAAATGTCACTTTACCCAGTGTGTACAGCAACTTTGAACTAGTTGTGTGCGTGAATATGTGTTTGGGGAGGCTCCATAAACCAATCTTAACAGCTACGTATAAATCATTTGAATCTCAGCTGAGATTCTTCTTTCCCAGTCTGCATATCGCATGTGCCGAGTAGAAAGAGTTAAAATGTGCAGTCCTGTCTTTTCTCCCCCCTTTACCTCTCCCCCAGATACCGATTCGAACTAGTTCATACAGTAATCTATTTGTGTGTGTGTATATATATTTATAAAGCCAGTGTCTCTGGGCCCCCGTTCTTAACACACGTGTGCATGTTACATAAAACATTTTATAGATGACGGCAGAGGCAAAGGGGGAAAAAATAACAAGGGGGGGGGGGGGTTTCCAGGTATCAAAGGAGAACTGTTTTGTTGTTACCAACACTCACATCATGTCGCTTTTTTTATCTAGTCTTGATACCTTTGCTAAGAATGAGTTAAGTTCTTAGAGATCACATTGCGGGCCATCTCGTTGGTTTGCAGGTCCCCCAGTGGCTGTTGGCATGAACATAGACATTGCCAGCATAGACATGGTATCAGAAGTCAATATGGTGAGTATTTAGTTTTTTTACCCCCTTTTTCTCCTGAAGATTGTGATGATGATAAGGTTGGGGGTTGGGGAGAAATATTTGATTATTTTCTCATCTGGTTCCATTATGCAATGGCTGGCAATCCCCGTCCAGTGATCAACCTCCCATACTCCCCATCCCCCACCCCTCAACATCTCCTTCATTCTTTTTGTGCATTGTATGCCTATTAAGGACTTGTTCTACTCTTTGGCCTTACAAGATACTGAACAGGGTCCGCCTTTGCCTACTTGATACAGCAAATGTTTCTAGTCCGAACTTGCATGCCGAATTTTGGGAGTAAAAAAAATCAATAAAAATCTATGGATAATCGGGGGGAGGGGCGGCGGAAGGGTTGGATTTGAGCATACTCAGGTTTGTGCCTTCAGCTCCCCCTTCTCAAAATCCAATCAATTGATAATCTTCAAAATAGGCTATACGGATTATCTTTATATTGATGACTCACAACATGTTTAGAGCTTGTACAATTTATTGTCAGTCTTACTGTTTAGTAGGTACCACTTCAGACGTACAGTAAGCGCTGTGGAGCAGGCGCTTGAGTTTATAGTCAGTGGAACAACGTTAGTCTTGCTTTGTTTCATGCAAGAGCGCCCCCTGCTGATACCGCGGTTCCACTGCCGCCGAAAGACAAATTGCAATATCTTACAATTTACAACTAAATCCCCGATGCGATTTAAAGAAGTTTAAATGTACTTTTTTTTTCTTTGCACTTGTGCCTATTGGGGCATGAAGGGTCCCGCAAATACTTCAGCTAGTAAGGTTACATTAGGATGTTTGCAAATTATTTGATGCAGTCCTAAGACCTACATGCTTTTTCATCTGCTAGTCCGTGAAAAGTGCTTAAATGTGCAGAGAAAGTTTGTGAACTGGGTAGACAACTAGGTCTATTCCAAGTCTAATTTTCCTTACACTTGATCTCAAACAAAATTGGATATGGAACCATACTGTGCCAATATCTCTTTTCTTTTAGATGATGTGATGGTCCATTAATACATAGTTCAAAAATGTCACAAAGCATTGTGCTTTACCTCAAAAATGCCTCTCACATTATGAGAGTGGGAATTGGGTTCAAATGGAGATTTTGTTCAGACTTGTTTTTCTTCTTACTTTTTTTTTAAATAAAGTGAGTTGTTTTAAGAAAAACTACTCACATACAAATCAACCCCTAACAATTACTTTATGTAAAGCAAAACTATTTCTGTGATCTTTGTTGATAGTCTAAACTTAATAAAATGATGAAGCTACTAAAAGATAATAAGTTAACTAAATTATTAGTGTGTTTTGCTTCCTTTATTTGGGGGAAAGGAGGTGGATATCTAATGAACTATTAAGAAAATAGTAGCAGTCCTAACATACATTCCTAACATTCATCTCAGAAGGAGCTCTTCAAGGGTCAGACTGAGCTTTCCTAGTAGTCACTTTGCTTACATCATATGTAAAAGTTATAGGCCAAATTCTGCAGTCTTAACCTTAACTTCAGTTTTATTTGGTTAAGAACACTGGTTTTGGCCGTGTCCTGAGCTACTTATTGCAGAAAGATGACAGACAGACATAAAATATCAAAGATAACATGCTAAAATGAGTATTAATGAAATGTATGAATTGGGAAGGAGATAAGTATCCCTTTTAAAAAACCAATTATTCAACATTGCTGGGATTTCTAACCATACCGGCAAAACTATTTTTTACAAGTTATACAAATACCACTTAGCACTATCTTGACCTTTACACCCATTTAAAATGCTTAATGGCTCAATGATCTGATCTGAATTAAAAATACTGTGCTGCCTGGGTAATGTCCAGTGCACTAGCCACGATTTGTAGGTTATTTTTATAATTGAAGGTGGTGTTTTGTGATTTACAGAAATGTTCCTTTAATATAAAATGGTTACATTGGGTTTGTAAGAATATCAGCTTTGTTTTTGGAAGATTTTTAGTTGAGTACTTGGTCCTAATGCTATCTGAAACAATGATAAAGCCCCCAACAAGTTCACTAGGGGAAGAATTAGTTAAGTTTTAAAGCAGCTTCCTAAAATATACTTTAAAACATCTTTCCAATGTACATCTAGTTTTGTTGTCATGGAATATTTTGATATGTTCTGTTCAAAAACTTTACATGCTAAAGAAACAAAATTGCATTTTATTTTAAGTAGCTTTTTAATGAAATCTGGATATAACAGATGTGGCATATTTAGAATCTTTATAAACATCCATTAACAGTGTGTGTGTGGGGGGGGGGTAACTTACACTTGCTGGAGCTGCAAGCGAGAACTGGTAGGTTAGTGTTACACTCCAAATTCCCTGCAAAACTAGACAATGTTGCCAAACTTCCTTTTTTTCATAATGAGGTGCAAAATCTGCAAATAACTTCCAGAAATGTGATCTCTATTGAAAAATTATAATGTCTAATGTGGCACAGAACACACAAAAATATAGAAATACATACTGTTTTGAAAACTTGGGGGGGAGGGGTGCACCTTGACTAATTAAGTTTCTTGAATGAAAAGTTTTATTTATGAAAAGTCTTATGAACTTGGTTAGATACTTTTGGCAGGTGGTTTTGTAGTGGTTGTCAAAATCAACAATATTTATCAGTCTCTTCACAATTGACTACAAGGGTTATAGACTGAATATAATCTAAATGTATCTGAATTTAAATAGTTGGAACATGACTAATTTCATTTTTTAAACCAAAAGGTTTTTTTCTCCCATTTTTATATCTTTTAGTGTAAGGACAGGTATCTAATCAACAATAGTAAGAATTATTTTCTCAACCAATTATATTGTAAAACAAATAAGAACGCACTTACAGTTCTCTAATATACATCTTGATAGAACTTCATTCATTGTTAATCTAGAGGCATACAGGAAGAGGAAATACTTCAAGAGGAGAACAACCCTATATGTTAAGTGGGAGTTTTAGCCTTAACTGATGAGAGCTCCGAAGAGATTCTATTACTTCAGGAAGATTATCTCATTTAGGGTCTATTTTTCTGCCTATACAACTTCTGCTGCCCATATTGAAGCCAATGGCAAAGTTCACATTGACTTGAATTGAAAAATCATTGCCAATTTATGTTTATATCTTGCACTAACTTTAATGGGAGTTAACATTTTTGTCTTCAAGGGACATTACACAGCCTTGGACAGTAACAGGAGGTCTCTGAACTCCAATATGAACATTTGTTTAAGAATCCCACCCTGTCCAAGAGACAGACACAAACATACACACACACCCCTTCATAGTCTGGAAGTTTTTCTGTTCTCACCATCCACAGTAATGTTAGTAACTGCCTTCAGAATAGCTTCTGTTACCAATAACGATATTAAATTTGCAAGCAATTCATTTACTTTTGACTTTATTCATAAGCATACATTTCCTTTTTAAAACCTTGATAAAGGGTCTATATGTACTTTACTTTCCAGGTCCAGACTACGAAATGAATATAAATATAAGTGAGATTGTGAGTTTAGAGGTATGGTGTCTGAATTTGTTTTCAGAGTTCATATTTTGCACAGGAATAAAATACTTTAGGTAATGCTTTTGTGCAGCACAATAACCTCAGCTAATTACATTGACTCCTTTGTGCTTTGAATCGGGTCCTATATTACCATTGTTGAGAGTATGTTTTGTGCCAGTCATGCTGCAGCTTTCGTTAAAGGTTTCCTGGTGCAGGTGAAAGTGGAAAATAAATACGAAGAGGTGTAATAGCTCCTTAAACCAAAATGGTTTTCCTGTCATAATGAATTCTGTGTTACATAAGATGAGCTGTATTGCAATGAGCCTGATAAAACATTCTCAAGAGAGTTTCCAGGTGTTTGGTTACTGTACTTGAATTTCCTTCTCAGCTTCCTTTTTTCCTAGTACTAATCAGACTCATTATAAAGATAATATCTCCAGAGAGCTTAATAGTCTATTTTTAAATAACTAATGCTAGCTTGCAATGTCAGACTTCCAAATCTGCACCCTCTTGATTAATAATTGGAGCAGAGACTTTGACAATGCCAGAGCAGTTAGGATTCCTTGTCATTCCTCCAGTATCTCCATTATGTTTAGAAAACAAACAATCTACATGTTTGTATGGAGGCAGATAGCAATTTTTTGGATTTTTTTTTCCTATTCAGTTTTCACTGAGTGTCCACTAGAGTATACTCTGCATTTGTTCTGCTTGTTGATATGGATGATATACTGCTCTCAGAAGAGAATATTGGCTTGGATTAGGTTCCAAATTTTGGTTTGCTTTTTTAAAATAGTTGGAAACAATTTGTGTGTGTACAGCTATCTCTTTGGGGATTCGGATACAGAATATCCTAAAAAGAGAGAAATGCTTGATATTATTTATCCCCCAAATTAGTTTTACTTTTTAAGTGAATTGTGATATTTAACTGAATCATAGCTATTCATCCATACTGATGTGAGGAAAATGGAATCTAAACGCATGACTTGGTTCAAAAATGCATTTGGACATATTTTAAATAGCAACAACATTATGTATATATTGGCATGTGGCTTTAGTACCCATGCATGGAGTCAAATTAATACAATTGACTGATTTAGTGGGAGTCATCATGGTTGAGTATATAATCCTTCCATCAAGAAGTTGTTACAGGATATAAAGACAGTGTTATTGTCTACTAGGGTACAATTCACTTCTTATAATCTGCCAAAATTTTTAAGACATACCCTATTAGCATCTAAGCTCTGTAGATAATTAAGTTATATTGCAAGCTTTGTACTTAAAGTACCCCAGAGTTTGTACTCCATACAAAATGGCTCTGTCTACACTGCCCTCTCTCATCCAAAAAATATACAAATGAGGCGAAGTGTGGAATATCGCCGCACCTCGTTTGCATAATTGAGGCTCCGCTTTTGCGGAAAAAGGAGCCATCTACACAGCTCTTTTTGCGTAAAAACCCCCCTCTTGCACAAGAGCCGTTCTTCTGCTTTTTTTCAGGAAGAATGG